ATATGGTAAGCCTGTCACCACTGGGTTGGTGGTAGTATTAGAGGGTGTTATGGTTAGCTTGTCACCACTGTGTTGATGTTAGTGTTGGAGGGTGTTATGGTTAACCTGTCATCTCCGTGTTGGTGGTAATGTTAGAGGCTGTTAAGAATAGCCTGTCACCACTGAGTTGATGTAAGTGTTAGATGCTGGTATGTTTAGCCTGTCATCACTGTCTTGTTAGTAGTGTTAGAGGCTTTTATGGTTAGCATGTCACAACGGGGTTAGTGGTAGTTTTATGGGATGATATGGTAAGGCTGTCACCACTGGGTTTGTTGTAGTGTTAGAGGGTAATATGGTAAGACTATCACCACTGTGTTGTTGGGAGTATTATAGGGTGTTATGGTTAGGATGTCACCACTGTGTTGGTGGTAATGTTAGAGGCTGTTAACGATAGCCTGTCACCACTGTGTTGGTAGTAGTGTTAGAGGATTGTATGGTAAGCCTGTAACCAGCGGGTTGGTTGTAGCATTAGAGTGTGTTACGGTTAGCTTGTCACCACTGTGTTGGCTGTAATGTTACAGGCTGTTAAGGTTAGCTGTCACCACTGAGTTGATGTTAGTATTAGAGGGTGTTATGGTTAACCTGTCATCACTGTGTTGGTGGTAGTGTTAGATGATGTTATGGTTAGCCTGTCACCACAGGGTTGGTGGTAGTATTATAGGATGGTATGGTAGGCCTGTCACCACTGGGTTGGTGGTAGTGTTAGAGGATGGTATGGTAAGACTATCACCACAGGGTTGGTGGTAGTGTTAGAGGGTAATATGGTAAGCCTATCACCACCGGGGTTGGTAGGAGTATAAGAGGGTGTTATGGTTAGCCTGTCAGTAGATTTATTCAATGGCAGCATTCGATGAGTATCACTTAGCAATTCCAATGTGCTAAAACGCATGGTGATTGGTATAGACTTATTTGTTGACACTGTCCTCGACGACATTTCTTTTTGCATTCTGTAGAAAAGTGGACGAGCCAGTTATATGAATGCTAAATAATATGCTAGCCGCCACCTCATGGCCTCGAACAGTGTTGATCGTCTGCTAGTCGCCACTCGTGTCCAACATTACAAATAAATGTTACAAGTCGTCCAACATATTTCCATTAGCAATACCATTTACCATGTCATCGACCGAATCATCGACCCGACCCTGTTTAATATGACCTACCAGCCCTGTGATTGGTTGTTAGTTTAAATTGTATCAATATTGTGACGTCACGCCTATGACAAGTACATGACGACACAAACTTAAGCACTGGAGTCAAAAATGGCGGCCTTTTACATTTTAAGGTTCATGAAAGTTGTCGTTTGTCAAAAATAAATGCCACAAACTTGATGATGTGATACAAAGGATCTAACACTCGTTTTCATGTCATATATGAAATTTATGAAACTCGTCACGAATTTTTCATTTGAGCTCGTCATATGAAAAGGAAACTCATGAAAGATTTTATATATAACAATCTGTCGATGTCTTAATCCTTTAATGAAATAGAGTCGAAAACATTCAATCGTAAACACAATAGATACCCGCCATAATATGAAATATACACTTAAACCCTATATCTCCGTACTGTCAAATAGACAGTGGATACCTATCTCGTACAACAAATAGACACTGGATACCTATCTCCGTACTGTCAAATAGACACTGGATACCTATCACCGTAAAACAAATAGACACTGGCTACCTATCTCCGTAAAACAAATAGACACTGGATACCTATCTCCGTACAACAAATAGACACTTGATACCTATTTCCGTATATGCAACAAATAGACACTTGATACCTATCTCCGTACAACAAATAGACACTTGATACCTATCTCCGTACAACAAATAGACACTTGATACCTATCTCCGTACATACAACAAATAGACACTGGATACTATCTCCGTACAACAAATAGACACTTGATACCTATCTCGTTACTGTCAAATAAACACTGGATACCTATCACCGTAAAATAAATAGACACTGGATACCTATCGCCGTACAACAAATAGACACTTGATACCTATCTCCGTACAACAAATAGACACTTGATACATATCTCCGTACAACAAATAGACACTGGATACCTATCTCCGTACAACAAATAGACACTTGATACCTATCTCCGTACAACAAATAGAGACTTGATACCTATCTCCGTACATAGAACAAATAGACACTTGATACCTATCTCCGTAGAACAAATAGACACTGGATACCTATCTTCGTACAACAAATAGACACTTGATACCTATCTCCGTACAACAAAAAGACACTGGATACATATCTCCGTAAAACAAATAGACACTGGTGTTATGGTTAGCCTATCACCACTGTGTTGGTGGTAATGTAAGAGACTGTTATGGTTAGCCTGTCACCACTGATTTGATGGTAGTGTTAGAGAGTGTAATGGTGAGCCTGTCAGCACTGAGTTGTTGGTAGTGTTAGAGGCTTTTATGGTTAGCCTTTCACCACAGGCCTGATTGTAGTGTTAGAGGGTGTTATGGTAAGCCTATCACCACTGGGTTGGTTGAAGTGTTTGAGAGCGTTAAGGTAAGCCTGTCACCACTGGGTTGGTTGTAGTGTTGGAGTTTTTTTTATGGTTAGCCTGTCACCACTGTGTTGGTTTTAGTGTTAGAGGATGGTATGGTAAGCCTGTCACCACTGGATTGTTGGTAGTATTAGAGGATGGTATGGTAAGCATGTCAGCACTGGGTTGGTTGTAGCGTTAGGGGATGTTACGGTTAGCTTGTCACCACTGTGTTGGTGTAATGTTAGAGGCTGTTAGGTTAGCCTGTCACCATTGAGTTGATGTTAGTGTTAGAGGGTGTTATGGTTAGCCTGTCACCACGGGGTTGGTGGTAGTGTTAGAGGATGGTATGGTAAGTCTGTCACCACTTGGTTGGTTGTAGTGTAAGAGAGTGTTATGGTTAGCCTGTCACCACTGGGGTTGGTTGTAGTGTTAAAGGATGGTATGATTAGCCTGTCACCACATGGTTGGTGGGAGTGTTAGAGGGTGTTATGCTAAGCCTATTATCACTGGGATGGTGGGAGTGTAAGAGGGTTTATGGTAAGCCTGTCAACACTTGATTTGTTGAAGTGTTAGAGAGTGTTGTTGTAAGCCTGTCACCACTGGGTTGGTGGTAGTGTTAGAGGATGGTATGGTAAGCTTGTCACCACTAGTTTTTTTGTAGTGTTAGAGTGTTTTATGGTAAGCCTATCACCACTGGGTTGTTGGGAGTATAAGAGGATGCTATGGTTAACCTGTCACCACTGTGTTGGTGGTAGTGTTAGATGCTTTTATGGTAAGCCTATCGCCACTGGGTTGGTGGGAGTATTAGAGGATGTAATTATTATCCTGTCACCACTGTGTTGGTGGTAATATTAGAGGCTATTATGGTTAGCCGGTCACCACTGAGTTAAATGCAGTTTTAGAGAGTGTAATGGTAACCCTGTCAGCACTGGGTTGGTGGTAGTGTTAGAGGCTTTTATTGTTAGTCTGTCACCACTTGGTTGGTTGTATTGTTAGAGGATGGTTTGGTAAGCCTGTCACCACTGGGTTGTTGGTAGTGTTATATGATGGTATGGTAAGCCTGTCACCACTGGGTTGGTTGTAGCGTTAGAGGCTGTCAAGGTTAGCCTTTCACCACTGAGTTGATGTTAGTGTTAGAGGGTGTTATGGTTAGCCTGTCACCACGGGGTTGGTGGTAGAATTATAGGATGGTATGGTAAGCCTGTCACCACTGGGTTGGTGGTAATGTTAGAGGGTATTATGGTTAGCATATCACCACTGGGGTTGGTGGGATAATAAGAGGCTTTTATGGTTAGCCTGTCACCACTGGGTTGGAGGTAGTGTTCGAGGGTATTATGGTAAGCCTATCACCCATTGGTTTTGGTGGAAGTGTTAGAGGATGGTATGGTTAGACTGTCTCCACTTTGTTGGTGGTAATGTTAAAGGCTGTTATGTTAAGCCTATCACCACCGGGTTGGTTGTAGTATTAGAGGATGCTATGGTTACCCTGTCACCATTTTGGTAGTGGTAGTGTTAGAGGGTATTCCAGTGAAGTATGTATTACGTCATTACCTTTGGGACAATAGGATGAATACTCATCGTTCTGGCATTAATGTTTCCAATAATGGTAACAGTAAATATTCTTTAAAGGGGAAGCATCTCCTTTTATAAGGATTAAAAAGGTATAGAAGGAATTCGGTTGGGGACAATCTAACTGATAGTCTGTAGTGTTTTGATGCTGCTCTAAGCCTTACCGACACAGATTAGCTTGGCCAGCCTATTTGACTGATTTAACCCTCAGCTATACAGTAATACCTGTTCCACGTGCTGGTTGGCCAAAATAACCATAGAAAGTATGGCGATTAAGACTGTTGATCGACTTCCTCTTAAATTATCTCATAACAATAGTCCTTAAAATCTCAGCACACATACTTAAACTGTAAACTGTGTCTGGGTTCACAGGTCCTTGTGATTCAAATTACATCATTATTTTTTAATGATTTATATATTTTAGGGTTCATTCTCGATTATTTAAAACAATCAAAATAGACAAAGTATCTGTATTATACTATACCTAATACTGCGACATTGCACCTTTATTTCTAGACACTAACCTCTATATTTGCTATAGTAGTTATAATTCTATAAGCATATACTACCAGTATTAGTATAAATACAAAGTGTATGTACATAAAATGATCGATAAGAAGTGTTTTTGCTCACCAATCATATATTCACTCGGCAGAGGCTTACAGATCAATATACAACAGTGGAATTGACACACTTCTCTTCATTCATGAAACTCTGCTGTTGTATCCGCCCATTCCCAAATATAGGCATACAGGCCCGCCAAAATTGTTGACTAGCCAAATTGAGTGACTGACGATCCTGGCCTGAGCTGGCACGGGGTTGCACGAGAGCGACAGTGGATTATTTCAGCCACTCCCAAGCATCCGTCACCAGGCCAGTAAACGCGCTACAATGCACATCCCTTATACATTATAACGCTTTATGGTCATCTTTCATACACGACCACAATGTTCCTTAATTATCATGAAATTCTAACACTGTATTGACGACAGCATCGCATTGAAACAGACAATAGAAGAAACAACTCTACAGATATACCTATACCGCACGGCCAATGTGGTTTTAAGCACAAGCCGTGAAACGGAGTGGCATTCGCCAACGCTTTTTTATAAGTCTTTCTCAGATCAAGCTGTTATAAAGCGGGAGCGTTGTAATTTTTAGATCACTCGGCTGAGAAGACCCAAGATGTACCGGGTATCACAGAGCGCATGCCTTTTGCTGTACTTGGCACAGCTTGTAATACTAGCTCAGTGTATTGACCTTTCCGGGGAGTTTAGCTCACACACCTCATCATCTAATCGAGGCAAAAGGGAAACCGACGATGATTTTGAAGACGATGTTGCGAAACGATCTCGAGAATTGGTTGGTAAACGGTCAGACGGCGAAGGCCTTACTGGAAAATCAACGTTAGACAAACGGCTTATGCCTTACGATGAACTTGAAAAACGTTTGAGACATTTTATTGGAAAACGGACTGACGATGAACAACCGTTCGAGAAAAAGTCGAGGAGTCGGGGACGATACTTTGTTGGCAAACGAGAAGACGATGACGAAGATGAAGAAAAACGTGCGAGATATTTCTTAGGCAAGCGTGACGCCGATGAGATTAACGAGGAAAAAAGATATCGTTATTTCCTTGGAAAACGAGACGATTTAATGAAGAGGAGATACTATTTCCTTGGTAAAAGACCGGCCATGTTGGATGACGACTTTGAAAAAAGGCGACGATTTTTCTTGGGAAAAAGAAGGCGATTCTTTCTTGGCAAAAGGGATTCAACTTACAACAACAACGATTTGGGGCCCCAGTTAGGTGGCTTTGGAGAGAGTAACAATTTAGAGGATACATCTCAAAACGGACTTAGAGATTTCATACAAAAACGCATGAGATACTTTCTCGGAAAGCGCTCCGATGAATTAGATGGACAGAATTTGGAAACGGACAAACGCTTCGCAAGGCATTTTCTTGGAAGGTAAGGCCAAGTGTTGGATTTTGTGTTCAACTGAACTCTGCCTTAGTGGGCCCTCGTTATCTTTGGAAATATCCGAAAGTGAGTTTATGTAACTTATATAACGGACGTTAAGAATCATTGTTGAGCATGGAAGCTGTACAGACTTATGATGTCGGCTTGGGAAATATGACAGACTTACGAGATGTCGGCGTTATGTGATATACTTCTAAAGTTGTACATGTCCAATCGTGCTTTGATGTAATAACATTGAACTATTACCAACAGACGAGAGAATATAGACACGAACAGATTATGTGCTATGTTGTGTGATCATGTTTCCCTGTCACGATTCCGTACAGCAAACCCGCCCCCATCCCGGGGGCGGGGCTGGAAGTAGTCCGGGTCGGAGGAGGGACACAAGTAATTCTCAGGTTTGGCCCCCACTTTCTTCTGTTTGCTGACAACAAAATATTGATTAACAATAGAGATATTTTGAAAAAAATACAATTTGCATATATATAGTATGTACACATTACTTGCGTGAAATATAAATATATTTTGTATAAAGAGAAAACCTAACGTTATTTGTTTTGTTTAACGGCTTGTATTATTTTCATATTGTTTTATTTTTATTTTGTTTACACGAATGTAGAGACGTCCTATCAGAAACAGTAGTCGCTCATTAAAAAGCCCGAAACAAATGTTAATGATTCATTAATTGTAGCATAACTCATTGAAACTTAATGTACATGTAAGAAAATAGATACGAGTATTGGAGAGGATATCAGAACTAGTTGAAACCGGTTGTCAATATGTACCATATATTGGTAAATGTGTACTTAGCTGTGACATTGACAATAAAGACGTTTCGAAAACAAACAAAAACTTTGAAGGTCATGAATTATTTCTCAGATTAGACACACTTGATTTTTTTTTATTATAAAATAATTTACACGTTTTGGATGATTCAGTTTTTTAATCTCAGAAAATCTCCGCTGGTAAAGCTTATGTAAAAAAATGATGGTACGAAAGAAGTAATTCCATAACATATTACTTGTCTGAATCGCATTATGGCGGGAATAAACAGTAGATTTATCAATGGCAGCATTCGACGAGTATCACTTAGCAATTCCAATGTGCTAAAACGCATGGTGATGGGAATAGACTTATTTTTTGACACTGTCCTCGACGACATTTCTTTTTGCATTCTGTAGAAAAGTGGACGAGCCGGTGATATGAATGCTAAATAATGTGCTTGCCGCCACCTCATGGCCTCGTACAGTGTTGATCGTCTGCTAGTTTCCACTCGTGTCCAACATAACAAATAAATGTTACAAGTCGTCCAACATATTTCCATTAGCAATACCATTTACCATGTCATCGACCGAATCATCGACCCGACCCGGTCGACGATCGACGTCCAGTACATATCCCGTTCTGTTTCCTCACAGTACCATTTAGCGCCACTGCAGAAACTCTTTAAATAAAATGGGTCTACCTGAATTTTAGCTCTTGCGAATAAATGTCAATATAACGTAGTGCAATATCATTATTTTTTTATATTTCAAACGTTAATTTTCTTTTGTCATTTACTTAAACCACGGCAAAAATTCCCATGATACACTTATATCGTTAAACGCATTTTATGATTGTCATCAAATCGTAATGTTCATTTTCAAAGTTTAGGTTTGCTACGAAATTAGCAGACGACATTATCGTAAGTACCATAACAGCGAATTTATTAAATCATAAATGCTCTTTATCATTCTACTTTTACAGTAAATTAACTATTGAATGAGTTTTCATATAATATCGTTTGACGCCATCAAAATAGCCTGTCATTGGTTGCCTCTATGTCTTTCGGGAATATACACATGTAATTGAAAGTAAATCGTATCTTTAGTACCCAATTCATTTTTTAATCCAATCGTTGAAATCTGAACCAGAGTGAATATATGAATCTACTTATGAAATGGTATGCTTATTAAACAGCACTATATTCCTATTACATCAGCAAAGCGTTAAAGGCACAATAAGATAAAGTACATGTATGTTTATTTTAATCACATAATGTAGTGTGTTCCTATTTAATATGACCTACCAGCCCTGTGATTGGTTTTAAGTTTAAATTGTTTCAATATTGTGACGTCACGCCTAGGACAAGTACATGACGTCACAAACTTACGCACTGCAGTCAAAAATGGCGGCCTTTTACATTTCAAGGTTCATGAAAATTGTCGTATTACAAAAATAAATGCCACAGACTTGATGATGTACATGTGATACAAAGGATCTTACACTCGTTTTCATTTCATATGAAATTTATGAAACTCGTCACGAATTTTTCATTTGAGCTTGTCATATGAAAAGGAAACTCGTGAAAGATTTTATATATAACAATCTGTCGAGGTCTTATTCCTTCAATGAAATAGAGTCGAACACTTTCAATCGTAAACACAATAGATACCCGCCGTAATATGAAATATACACTTAAACCCTATATCTCCGTACTGTCAAATAGACAGGGGATACCTATCTCCGTACAACAAATAGACACTGGATACCTATCGCCGTACAACAAATAGACACTGGATACCTATCTCCGTACAACAAATAGACACTGGATACCTATGTCCGCACTGTCAAATAGACACTGGATACCTATCTCCGTACTGTCAAATAGACACTGGATACCTATCACCGTACAACAAATAGATACTGGATACATGTACATATCTCCGTAAAGCAAATAGACACTGGATACCTATCCCCGTACCACAAATAGACAATTGATACCTATCTCCGTACAACATATAGACACTTGATACCTTTATCGCCACACAACAAATATATACTTGATTCTTTTATCGCCGTACAACAAATATACACGTGAAACTTATATCGCCGTACAACAAATAGACACTTGATACCTTTATCTCCGTAATGTCAAATAGACCCTTGATATCTTTTTGGCCATGCAATAAATAGACACTTAATACCAATATTGCTGTAAAACAAATATACACTGGATACCTATATCGCCGTACAACAAATAGACAAGTGGAACTGATATCGCTGTACAACAAATAGACACTTGATACCTATATGTCCGTAATTTCAAATAGACCATTGATTCCTTTTTTGGCCAGAAAACAAATAGAATTCCTATGTTGCAATATAACAAGTAGACACTGGTTACAATGTACATATATCGCCGTACAACAGATAGATACTGGATACATATATCGCCGTACAACAAATAAACACTGGATTCCTATATCACTGTACAACAGATAGATTCCTGATACCTATATCGCCGTACAATAATTAGACACTGGATCCATTTATCGCCGTACAACAAATAGAAACGTGATAGCTATATCGCCGTACAACAGATAGACACGTGATTCTTATATCGCCGTACAACCTATAGACACTTGATACCTTTATTGCCATACAACACAAATATACTTGATACCTATATCGCCGTACAACAAATACACACGTGAAACTGATATCGCCGTACAACAAATAGACACTAAATACCTGTATCGCCATACAAGAAATAGACACTTGATACCTTTATCGCCATACAACATATAGACATTTGATTCATATATCACCATACAACAAATATAAACTTGATTCCTATGTTGCAATATAACAAGTAGACACTGGTTACAATGTACCTATATCGCCGTACAACAGATAGATACTGGATACATATATCGCCGTACAACAAATAAACACTGGATTCCTATATCACTGTACAACAGATAGATTCCTGATACCTATATCGCCGTTCAACAAATAGACACTGGATACATTTATCGCCGTACAACAAATATACACGTGAAACTGATATCGCAATACAAGAAATAGACACTTGTTACCTATGTCGTCATACAACAAATTTAAACTTGATTCCTAAATCGCCGTTCAACAAAAAGAGACATATTTTTTTTTTATCTCCATACAGCAAATAGATAATGGATACCTGTATCGCCGTACAACAAATAAACACTGGATACCTATCCCCGTACAACAAATATACACTTGATACCTATCTCCGTACAACAAATAGACAGTGGATACTTATCTCCGTACAACAAATAGACAGTGGATACCTATCTCCGTACGTACAACACATAGACACTGGATACCTATCTCCGTACGTACAACAAATAGACACTGGATACCTACCACCGTACAACAAATAGACACTTGATACCTATCTCCGTACAACAAATATACACTGGATACCTATCTCCGTACAATAAATGGACACTTGATACCTATCCCCGTACAACAAATAGACAGTGGATACCTATCTCCGTACAACAAATATACACTGGATACCTATCCTTGTACAACAAATAGACACTGGATACATATATCGCCGTATAACAAATAAACACTGGATTGCTATATCACTGTACAACAGATCGATTCCTGATACCTATATCGCCGCATACAAGAAATAGACACTTGATACCTATATCACCGTCCAACAAATAAACACTGGATACCTATCTCCGGACAATAAATGGACACTTGACACCTATCCCCGTACAACAAATATACAGTGGATACCTATCTCCGCACAACAAATAGACACCGGATACATATATAGCCGTACAACATATACACACTTGATATCTCCGTACAATAAATGGACACTTGATACCTATCTTCGTACAACAAATATACACTGTATACCTATCTCCGTACGTACAACACATAGACACTGGATACCTATCTCCGGACAATAAATGGACACTTGATACCTATCTTCGTACAACAAATATACACTGGATACCTATCTCCGCACAACAAATAGACACTGGATACATATATCGCCGTACAGCAAATAGAAATGTGATAGCTATTTCGCCGTACAACAGATAGAGTCCTGATACCTATATCGCCATACAATAATTAGACACCGGATCCATTTATCGCCGTACCACAAATAGAAATGTGATAGCTATATCGCCGTACAACAGATGGACACGTGATTCCTATATCGCCGTACAACCTATAGACACTTGATACCTTTATTGCCATACAACACAAATATACTTGATACCTATAGACAAGTGGAACTGATATCGCCGTACAACAATTAGACACTTGATACCTATATCACCGTCCAACAAATAAACACTGGATACCTATCCCCGTACAACAAATATACACGTGAAACTGATATCGCAATACAAGAAATAGACAACAAATACACACGTGAAACTGATATCGCAATACAAGAAATAGACAACAAATACACACGTGAAACTGATATCGCAATACAAGAAATAGACAACAAATACACACGTGAAACTGATATCGCCGTACAACAATTAGACACTTGATACCTATATGTCCGTAATTTCAAATAGACCATTGATTCCTTTTTTGGCCAGAAAACAAATAGATAATTGCTACCTATATGACTATACAACAAATAGACACTGGATATCTATGTACAATAATTAGACACCGGATCCATTTATCGCCGTACAGCAAATAGAAATGTG